TAGCGCCCGATCGCAAGAAACTGAGTCGTTCCGCGCTTGTTTGTTTACTCCGCCTCTCGTTACTAAGACATTACATGAGAGAAGCCATTTTCCTTTTCATCTGATAATCGTGCACGCCTATAGAGTCCGATCATCGCTCCCCGCGCCTTCATTGGTTCACATTTATTAATTCATATCTCAATAAATATTGCGAATTTTGCAAAATAGTATATAACTTTCCTGTTCAGAATGACCCGATTTATCTACACACGTCGGCTTTATAGTTCGTTGTCAGACACCCTGTATATATCAAAATAAGAAAAACATCTCTTGAATATTAAAATTTACCGTTAGAGCTTAACCTGTTCAAGCTTATTATTAAACTTTACGCAAAGATCGATAAGTTATCACCCTTAAGTCGCTACCACGCAACATCACAGTTAGTTGCAAAATTAATAACTTTTAAACTAAAAGAGATAGAGGAAAACAGTTTGCGTCATAATCCTTAGCGCATCAAACTGCAATATACCAGCCGTTCGAACTTTCTAACTTTAGTTATTAACAATNAATTGTTTAAATAATAGAAATTATCAAACTTTTACCGTGTGGTATTTTACAACTAACCAATAGGAATTGAGATGTAAAAATCATTTTGCTCTAACTTTTACCGTTCTCGAAATATTCAGTTTGTTAACTTTCACTCTTTGTCATAAATCACAGAGTAGCCGATTGAAGGTACCTCTAAAAATAGTTTCAAGCTATCTCTTCTGGTTCTTGAGATATCCGCGATTTGCAAAAAGGACTATGTATCGTTAAATGTGTGTGTAGAACATTAANATTTTATATTTAATATTTTTTATTTTTTCTTTAAAATTTAATAATCGATAATATTTAATTTTTTAAATATTTGTGTTATATATATAACACAATATAATATAATACAATTAATAATATAATATAATACAATACAATAATATAATACAATATAATACAATTATATATATATATATATATAATTGTATTATATTGTATTATAAACACAAAATGTTTACTATCAGTTCTACCGCTATACTTGGCGCGAAACTATGGCTGCGTCCCGACTTAGGGTACGATCTCATGCACTGTTATTTTTCGCGTAACGCGTAACGCGTAATCAATCAGAGAGATTACGTGCTTTATGTTAGTACACGTAATTTCTCTGATTGGTTACGCATTACGCGTTACGCGAAAAATAACAGTGCATGGGATCGTACCCTTACGCATATCCACGTATTTATCTATACTATTTATACTATATGTAACGTATACTATAGATAAATGCGCGCATATTATGCGTAACTCGGAACGCAGCCTATATCTACACGAAAGTGTTGTCACCTGGTGGCGACAAGAGGCGAAGTACGCTCAACCATTACGCGCTCTGGTGGCTGACGAAAATCCGTGTTCGACGACGTAGACGTAAATTCTTAGAACCTAGTTTTTCGGCATTTCGGACTTTGTATCCAGATATCTCCGTTGGAAAGGCACGGAGGAAAAAAACCGCGAAATACTTTTTTTCGTGCCTCGATCTCAACTTTCGATTGAGTCTACTACAAACTCGATCGGTTTAGTCGTTGTTGAGATCGAAAAATCTCGAAAAGGCTCTCGGCTAAATTTCACGTATAAGAGGCACGGGGTACCTCGCGCACTTTGTTTGCGCATCATAGAGCTTATACTCATGGAGAGGCCATGCGAGCGCAAGGAGGATCGACAAAGAGAGATATTTTTCTGTTTCAATTGTGGC